CTGCATCCCTATAGCACCTCTTAGTTTATATGTACTTTTCACATCTCCTGGCTCATATTGGTGGACTCCCTTCCCCTATTCCTCCTCCCTCATTGACCTCAAGTGTTTTTTTGTTGTTGTTTTTTCAGTTTGCAAAAGGGGCAGTCCAAAATGTCAACAGAAAAGTCCGCACAAAACAGGAAGCTTGACGCCAGCTGAGACTTAGAGGTCAGGCTGAAAGTTGTTTCCTCAGCCTTATGTTCTGCCCTGACCTAATCAGAAGAGGCAGATCAGGCTGCAGGCCAAGGACCTAGTGGCTCCTGGCTTTGGGGTAAACAAAAAACTGCTAGCTGTGATGTCCTCACACCATCCAAGGACGCAGTTCACAGTATTTGTCCAAGGTGGGCGGGGAGGAGGTGGGGAAAAAAGTGTGAAAGGTATTGGGTCTGAGAGAACCGGTCATCCCATATAGGGATGTGGGAAATTCACCCCAGCCCTCCATCTCAAGTTGAGTCTGGACATCCGTTTACACTGGGTTGTAGGCAGGGTTGCGAAAACCAAACACAAACTGCCTTCAGTAGTGTCTGGGAGACAGTGTTATTGTTAACGATATTTAGGACTGGCCTACCACTTTAGGATTGGACCTTATGAAACCCCAGCCCTTCTCCCTCATTCCCTAGTTTGGAATGTTAAGAATCTGCACCCATGTGGACCAGCTCCCCCAAATTTGCACTGATGTTGCAGTAGAGTCCTCCCTAATGACTAGGTTTCAAGAATTTGGATTCAAGAGTGTTTGTCAAATGCTGGTGGTTAATCCCAAGTCAGAGGGGACYAGAAAGAGGACAGATTTAGACAGTGTCCAGCTCAAAAAAAAGTGTAAGTGATCATTTCCCCATTAGCCCACGGTATTTGAAAATTGCAACGATCCTATAAGAAATGTATTGTGATCTACATTTGGCAGAAGAGATGCACTAGGCCTGAGAGAAAGTGCTGTGAGAGCCGGAGGCAGGAGTCACCCTGCCTGCCCACTGAGGCTGAGGACTTTCCACTTGTCATTCTGTTGTCCCTGTGAGACCATTCTTCAAAAAACTCAACTCACTGAACAGATATGATGCATAACTATCAGGGGAATGTAAGGGTTGGTTAAATTAACCAGGAGGGTGTTCATTTGGAAAAATACTATTTTGTACTCCTATGTCCCTTTGTCTATCTAATAAATAGCTCAAATTTTCTGTGCTCCAAACTGAACCTCTGATCTTCCCAACCATCCCCTCCCCCACCGTGTTCTCTGTCACCGTTGATGGCAACTCCAGGCTTCTTACCTCATCCCTTTATTTCATACCCCACATCCAAATCCTCAGCCAATCCTGTAGACTGTCCTTTCAGAATACATCTATCAGACCACTTCTCCCCACCTCTGCTATTGTCCCAGGGACCCTATTATTTCTTGATTTGCAAAGGCAGKAGCCCCCAAATAGGTCTCCTTGTGTTACCCTCATCGCCTTATATCATCTCTTCTCATCAGAGATTCACTGATGGTTCTCCATTTCATCAAGAAGCGACCTGCCATACCCTCTAGGAACTTCTCTCTCTGGCTCTATCAATATCACTATATCTGGTCACTGTGTTTAAGCCAGTGGCCTCCTTTGGGCTCCGCAATCATGCCAGGCATATTCCACCCTTTAAACTCTCTTACAATTACAGAGTACTTACCACACATCTGTGCCATGTCTGAAAATAATGTTTTAGCTGGGCGCAGAGGCACGCACCTATAATCCTAGCTACTGGGGAGGCTGAGGCAGGAAGATTGCAAATTTGAGGCCAGAAAATTAGTAACAGCCTGTCTTAAAAAGGGCTATGGATGTAGCTTTGTGGGTTGATCACCCCTGGGTTCAATCCCAAGTACTGAAAAAAAATTAATATTAAAATTAAAAATGGCTTACAATAACACTCCACCACTATGTATGCATGTATATATGTACATATTGGCACTGGGGATTGAACCCATGGGTGCTTTATCACAGAGCTACTTCCACAGCTCTTTTAAATTTAAATTTTTTTAGTCGTTGATGGATCTTTATTTTATTCATTTATTTACAYGTGGTACCGAGAATYGAACCCAGTGCRTCACACATGCAAGGCAAGTGCTCATCCACAGAGCCACAACCCCAGCCCTAAATTTTTAAATTTTCAGACAACACYTCACTAATTTGCTGAGGCTGGCCTTGAACTCGATCCTCCTCTCTCAGCCTCCTGAGTGACTGGAATTACAGGTGTGCATCACCACAACCAGCTCACTCCAGCTGATATTTCTGAGCTCTTTGGATTTGAACATGTATTTAAGATGTGAGTTTTCAGGCATTTTGTGAGTAATTCASTTCTCTTTGGGTGCCGAGCCTTTATGTAGTCATCATGCTTTGTTATTTTACACAGCAAGCCTGTCTTCAACTTTTTGGTGGTTGGAAAAGGAACTTTATTGTTTCTTCCTAAGAAGAGCTGGTTATCTTCTTCTCCCTACCTTTGGTTCTCCACCAACCCTTCATGAATCAATAGAGAGATTAATTTATCTGGAAGTACAGAAGTACATAAATGGCTGCATTTATGTGTCCTATGAATTACAGAGGAGATGGAATTAGAGCAGATCTGGGCTATTTGCATTTTACTTAGAGGAATAGGAACTTTGGTATCTTTGTTTGTTATTTTATTTTATTTTATTTGTGAGCAGAAAGGTACCAGAAGCCATAGATAAAGATGCTCATTGCAGATAGACTTTTTGGATGAGAAGAATGAGAGTGGAGAGAGGGTGGATAGATAGAAGACTGGAAGGAAGAAAGGCATGACAATAAAGAGGCGAGCAGAATCTTGGGATGAGTGCACAGCATAGAATTTTAAAAACCTACAAATCTTTTTAGCATTAGCCGCCCAAATTCCAAATACTTATCAAACCAACAAATTGTCATCCGTTTTTTACCAACCCTTCTTTTGCACCTGTTAAAATGAGCACAACACCTGGGGGGCAGGGAATCTTTAGTGATTTGAAAAAGTTTGTTGTCAAAGATGTAGGTTTTTAATTTTTTGCTTTTTTGAAGCTTTCACATAATTCTTTTCTCTTTGCTTTATAAGTCCCAGARGTGATATCACATGCTAATTAGCAAACATTAGCACATAATGCCACTTACTGTGTTATTCCGTATGCTGGACTTCCTGCTTGGTTGCTTAAAATGCATTGCTTCATTGATATTAGTTGGAACTCGCATTCCTATTTTCTGGTATAGGAACTCAGAGATGCTGAGATATTAAAAACAACAATAAAGACATGCCTAAGGACAGTCCATTTTGTCCTTCTGCCTTATCTTTTTAAACACTGCCCCGTCTCCCACAGCCAGAACAGTGCTTGACACAAGAGTAGTTACTCAAAWATATATATATATTCTGAATGTTAAATGTACTTGCTCACATATCTGTAAATGCAAACTGAGATTTGAAATCAGGCTTTTCCACATGAAAGACTGAGTTTTTAATCACTTGCTGCTGTGTTTCTGGAACTGCTGGCTTTTAAATATGGCTCTCTGTGATTACTGAAGCATAAATTTAAATGGTATTGTCATCRGTTCTGTCATGGGAACACTTATTTTTTTCAGTCCTGGGGATTGAACCTAGGGGCTCACAGAGCTAGGCAGGTGCTGTGTTACTGAGCTACATAGCCAGGACTTTTAAAATTTTGTTTTAAGTCAGGATCTCACTAAGTTGCCTATACTGGCTTTGGACTTGTGAACCTTCTGCCTCAGCCGCACCCCCAACCCCAGTATCCTGAGTATCCTTTCCCCCAAAAAATAAACATATCTTTATAACTTTTCTCATGGTCGAAAGATACATAAGCTCACGGAGAAATCTGAATAATACCTCAAAAGTATAGAAATTAGAATAAGAATTAAGGCCAAGCAAGGAACACTCTGCCTTAGCCACAAGTTTTAAGAGAGAAACAAAAACTCAGTAGTCAAAATAAGCAATATTTTAATTTACTATTTCAAAAAAAATTAGCACAAAAATATACGATGAACAAAATATCACAAAAATGTAAATAAAGATAAGACCTATAGGTTGAGATCAATGCATACAAGTGCACAGTCAGATCATGTCTGCTTTACAATTTTGATATTTCATTCAATATGTTACCTTACCATCACTACAACAAAATACCTGAGGTAATCAACTTATGAAAGTTAAAGTCTTATTCTGGCTCAAGTTTTGGAGGTTCCATTCTTTGATGTGTTGGACCCATTGCTTTGAGCCTGTAGCAAGGCAGCACATTGTGGTCGCAGTGTGTGGCAGAGCCCAGCAATTCACCTCAGGAACAGGAAGTCGAGAGAAAGAGGAGGAGACCAGGGTCCCACAGTTCCTTTCTGGGGCATGCTCTCAATGCCCTAAAGCCCACCCACTAGGCCCCACCTATATTAAAGCTCCACCATCTCCCAACGATGGAGGCCACTATGGAGGCCAAGACTATGGCATCCATCATAGATTTTAAGTTGGGATTTTTAGAATACTGGGTTGACATTTATCTTGATAACTTAAGTGGCTGTTGTGTTGACAGGCCTTAAATTTTACAGCTAAGGTGAGTTCCTCAATCACCAAATTCTAACTTCAACATAGTCAGGATGAAAGCAGAGATTGTACCAAACCAGAGTTGGTTCCTTTTCATGTCTGGCACACAGCTTTTCAAACAACTCTCAGGGGTTTCTGTGTGTGTCTATAATATACATGTAAGGGGCATGACATAGCTAATCAACTTCTTATTGAATGACACTGCATATAGTTTTTGCCTGGTCATTTTATTATTTCCTTGGGGTAAGTGCCTATGGTTGGAATCACTGGGTTAAAGAGTTTGTGTGTGCATTGCTTTTAAAAAGCCAGAAAGTTCATTTGAGAGTCTTGGCAGTTGGATTAAGTTCCTTTATACAATGTTCACAGAATTTTTTAAAAATGTATTTCCTTTCCTTTGAACAGGTCCAGGAGACGAAATGTCATCACATGTTTTGCCAACATCACCGAATTCTGGAGGTAAAAAGAAATCAATCAGTGAATTCTTCCTTTGTGCTTGGTCCCGTTAGGCTCCATAAGGTACTAGGAGAGTAAAGGAGGGTGCTGCACCAGAGCCTAAGGCGGAAAGAATTTATAAACTGTCTGCTGAGGACATTCTGTTTGACTTTTCGATTTTTAAAATTTCTTCAAATCAGGGGTTCCTCAAATTGTCATCATTAACTCAATTGTGTCATACGAAAGGACACAAATAACTTTACCAAATCTGCCCTCTTCTCTCCTTTACCACCCTTCTCTCTTGATCCTCCTACTTCTTTATAAATATACAAGAAGGTAGAATTTAGCAGTATAAAAGGAAATAATTTTGTTTTACTTATAATTCTGGCCAAGTTTAATGATGGGATAACACCAAGAATGTCTATAGAGAACTGTTACTCTATACACATCCTATACAGAGGACCATTTGTCACTCTGTATTTAGAATTAATAGGTGTGACTGTGAATGACAAAACATGTATATAAACCAATGGTTTAAAKGTATGATAGGGGTTTTTCATACTCTCTCAGGTAAACAGAGTCTGGGTCCATGTGGAAGTTCACATCAGGAGCTCACCTTCTAGCTCATGACTGGGCTTTATTCTTGGCCCAGTTTGACTGCTTCTGCACCAATCATTACATCCATATTCCTACCTATAAGGAAGGAAAGAGCATGCCTAGAAGATACATTCACCACTTTCACTGACATCCCCTTGGCTAGAACTCAGCCATATGGGTATTCCTAGGTCCAAAGGAGGTTGAGAAAAGTACTCTCTACTGTGGGTGCCCATATGGGATGCTAGAATTGAGGACCATATTTGTATAGAAGGAGAGAGTGTGGATATTGAGACACTACTAGTAGCCCCTGCTCCATTATCAAATTTAAAAAAAAATTTAGGAAGGGCCATTTTGGGAATTAATTCTACAGATAGATTTGCACAYGTAATTAAAGGTGTATGTACAAGAATAGTCAATGCAGTATTTTTTTTTGTAAGAGCAAATGACTAGGATMAGTCATAATGTCTATGAAACAAAAATCACAGATAAGGTTAAAATGAAGGAAGAGGCAGTTTTATTCAGGTGCAGAATAGATCTGCAAATCAGCAGATACAAGTTCAGGTGAGAAACCAAGCAAGTGTTATCCAACGAGACTAGACAGAATGAGGTTTCATTGCATAAAGTCATGGGGTGGGGCCGTGGCTCAGCACTGCTGGAGACAAGGCAAGGTGTGGGCACGTCAGGTGTCAGAAACTGAAGGGAGTCAATGAAGTTTGCATTCACATATCCATGCTCTTTTAGCCAGCTTTTTTTCCATTGCTGTGCCCAAAAGACCTCCCAAGAACAATATAGAAGAGGGAAAGTTTATTTGGGGCCCTCACAATTTCAGAGGTCTCAGTCCAGACAGCAGTTTCCATTTCTTGGGGCTCCAAGTRAGGCTGAACATYATGGCGGAAGGGTGCAGTGGAGRAAAGCAGCTCAGGACATGGTCATCAGGAAGCAGAGAGAGCTCCACTTACCAGGGACAAAGAAACCCCAAAGGCGTGCCCCCAGTGACCTACTTCCTCCAGCCACTCCCCACCTTATCACAGTTACCACGCACTTAATCCATATTAATGGATTAATTCACTGATTACCTACAACTCCCACAATCCAACCATTCCACCCTCTGAATAATTCTTGCATTTTCTTACACGTGAGCTTYGGGGAGACATCACGTATCGAAACCATAACATAAGGATTGGAAAGTTGGTTCATCTTCAGTTCTTGACAGCAATCAGTGCAGAATGTTAGCAAAGTCCCAAAGTTTTATCTCACCACTCTTTAACATTTTGACTTTGTTTTATCATGTCTGTTGGTGTGGGATTAGTTCATAATATGAGGGAATGAGATGCTAGTCAGCTGTCTTTTTGGATAAGATGATCATATATGTGCTAATATAAAAAGAATTTCTAAGTATTGGTAACTGAAAAAATAAGATGCAGAATACTAGAGTAGTATATATATTGGATGATGCCTTTTAAAAAAAAATTTTTTTAGTTGTAGTTGGACACAATCTTTATTTATTTTTATGTGGTGCTGAGGATCGAACCCATCACCTTGCATGTGCTAGGCGAGTGCTCTACCACTGAGCCATARTCCCAGCCCCTGGATGATGCCTTTTTATTAAAAAGAATCTAGATTACTGTGTCAAGAACTGCGAAGGGCGTAAGAGTTTCTCCTATTTCCAAGTTGTTAAGCTTATCTAGTTTCATGGATGCCAAGAAGAGTTACAAAACTCTTGGATCAGACACAAAGGTCTTTATTACTGACAACACAATAGGAGGCATGAGCATTAACACGTTTGGTACCAGTTCCCTGTTCCCCATGGCCCTCTTTTTAAATCAAGTAAGTTATATATTAATAATATAATATGGACCTCTGAACCCATCAGAACCCATGAAAACTGGGTTCTTAATGGTAAATTACACCATGACAAAACCTACATACCAGATCTCTTATTGTCTGTCCTTTGAGTATCCACCATGTTGACTCCTGTGTAGATTATTACTGGGGTTTTCTTATTGTCTGTTTGTAGTCTTAAAGAACATATTTTTTGCTTTGGCTTCACCTGTTTAAAAGGATAGCCTACAGACTATCATCTTTTGGAAATTACATGGTACATTGTAGTTCATGCATTTTGACAGCTGTGAATCACATCGTGTGACTATTCCATAGTTCCTTTATTGACTCCCCTGCGGGCATTTGAGTCGTTTTCAGTTTTCCATAAGGTAAGAGGCTGTGGCTTAGGTTGGAGTCTGATGCCCATTGGGAGTATAGGGTGATGAAGAAGGTTGAATGCGGTCCCCAAAAGATATGTTCATATGACAATAATATGTTCATAATAAGTTCATATGACAATATGAACTTATTTAGAAAATGAGTCTTTGCAGAAGTAATTGAGGCAGGGATCCTGAGATGAAATCATCCTGGATGGACTTAGGGTGAAATTGGCTCAGTACTTATGGAGGCTAAGTCCCATGATCTGCCATCTGCAAGGTGGAAACCCAGGAGAGTTGGTGGTGTCATTCAATCCAAGTCGGAAGCCCTGAGAACCAGGAGAACTGATGGTGTCAGTCCCATTCTGGGTTCAAGAGGAGATGCCAACTCAAACCATGAGAGGACAAGAAAGGGCCTTCTTTAGCCTCTCGTTCTGCTCAGGCCCTCAATGGATGGGATGATACCCTGCTGGTTCAAACGCTGATCTCATCTGGAAATACTCTCACAGACACACTCAGAAACACAGTTTGATCTAGGCACTCCTGAGTGCTGTCAATCCACAAAATTAGGTATCAAAACCACCCAGCCCCAGGTTCCCTTGGGGTCCTCAATCTCGTCACCCTCTGCTAGGCTCTAGCCTGTTAGCCATTCTCCTTCCTCCTCCTGCTGTCCTCAATCCCAGATGCTGGACCTCCCTCAGTTGTCTCTACTCCACAGATTACAAAGGCCTAGAATGTCACGTGCTTCCGTGACATCTCTGAGCCTCCCTGCACTTCCAAAGGCCAAACCACAAGCCCCTCTGCTCTTGCCAGGTATGAACCCCACCCAGAGGGAAGGACTCTCCACCCATCTAGTTCCTCTACCAGCTGGACCGGCCACACTCCTCTGAGTCTTCAACCTAATTTCACTTCTCTGCCAACCCTCAGAATGACTCAAACAAGTTGGCCACATCCAGCCTGGAACTGGGGGACACTCCCCACTCTTGTGACTACAAAGCCCTGCTGTTTCACTTACTCCTGAACTCGTCCTACGTGACCTTGGGTTGTAGACCAGGGCCGTGCTGATGACTAATCAGCCGCCTTCAGTCTTTGCCTGTCAAGTGCAGGGCGTCCTGTTTTCTAGGCTCCGAGATCCCTCCTTCCCTGAACCGGCCACACTCTGTGTTGAACCCAGGACCTCCACTCTGTGATTTTTCCCTCTCCCTGATAAAAACAGAACAAAACAAAACCAGCGTGTTGGGGCTTCTGCAGTCCCAGGCACTCCCATGGCCTCCACCGCATCCCTTGGACAATGGCCCTTTCTCAGGTAGCTTTGATGCTCCSGTTCACAGCACATTACCGCCACCTGGGGGCTCTCAGTGTATCCCAAAGCTGATGTTCTGGACCAATTAAGCCAGAATTCCTGGGGAACCAGAGTGATTCAGAGCCAGAACCAGAGGTTCTTCATAGGTCCTTAGCCTGCTGGGAAGTTTTGGAGATTTTTTTTTTTTYTGGTGAGGTAGAGATAGAAGGGTAAGGGGTATGGAGTAAGGGGTGGGTCACCCTCTCTTTTTCTCTCTGATTTAAGATATCAACTCCAAGCTGCCAGCATTCCTGGTCTTGGTTTTTGGTTTTTAAAGATCAGAATTTCAGCCAGGTGTGATTATGCATGTCATTCCAGCTACTAGGGAGGCTGAGGCAGGGGGATTACAAGTTGGAGGACAGCCTGGGCAACTTAGCAAGACTTGGTCTCAAAATAAAATTTTTAAAAGGGCTGGGGATGTAGCACAGTGGTTGTAGAACACCCCTGGGTTCCATCCCCAGCACCACAATAAATAAATTAATACATAAATAGATATTTTAAAAACCCCCAAGATTTCTGTCCCCTGCATCACACCTCCAAGCAATAAAAATAAGGACAGAGAAGGAAGGGTTTTTGCTCTTTCAGATTCGATAAATAAAATGTAAAATTCCATTCAGAGATATAGTTGATTTTTCTATTTTTAATGGTCAGCCTTCTTTTTCATTAAGTATATAAGTTCATGGTTTTTAGTGTTTTCATAGGTATGTGCAGCCATCACCATGGCCAATTTTAGAATGTTTCATCACCTTAAAAATAAACCCTGCATCCTTTGACCTCCAGATTCTACCCCCTGTCCCTGCACCATCCCTAGCAAGACTGATCTCTTCTCCATGGATGTGCCTCTTCTGTTCATTTCATATAAGTGGAAAGATACCCTATGTGGTTCTTTGGTACCTGCTTCTTTTGTTTAACATATGTTTCCGAGGTTTATCCCTGTTGTAGTGTATGTTGTACTTCATCCCTTTTCAAGCCTAAATAATATTCCCATTGTATGGATATACCACATTTTGTTTATCATTTTTCAGCGTTGGATGCTTGGGTTGTTTCCATCTTTTGGCTCTTATGAATAATACTGCTTGAAACATTTATGTACAAGTTTTTTGTTGTTTGTTTTGTTTTTGGTACCGAGGACTAAACCCAGAGGTATTTTACCACTCAGCTACATCTCCAGCCCTTTTTAAAATTTCCGATTTTGAGACAGGATCTTGCTAAGTTGCWTAGGGCCTTGATAAGTTGCTGAGGTTGGCCTTGAACTTGCAATACTCCTGCCTCGGCCTCTGGAGTCTCTGGGATTGAATCAGAGACATGCAGCACTGTGCCCAGCTTCATATACAAGTTTTTGTGTCAACATGTTTTCCTTTCTTTCGGGTGTATACCGAATGTTAGAATTAGTGAGGTGTATGGCAACTGTTTGACATTTTTAGAAACTACCAGAGTATGTTCCAGAATGACTGCATTGGCTGRGTACAGTGATGCATGCCTGTAACCCCAGCTCCTCTGGAGGCTGAGACAGGAGGATCACGAGTTCAAAGTCAGCCTCAGCAACAGTGAGGTGCTAAGTAACTCAGTGAGACCATGTCTCTAAATAAAATTCAAAATAGGGCTGGGGATGTGGCTCAGTGGTCAAGTGCCCCCGAGTTCAATCCCTAGTACCCCCTACACACACACACAAAAAATAAACCCAGAAATGGCTGCACCATGTTACATTTGAGGGTCCAGTTTCTCCACATCCTCACCAGCACTTGTTAACATCTGACTTTCTTTCTAAGACAATCTAATTTGGACTGAGGGTCTTCCTAATGGGAGTGGTGGGGCAATGGTAACAGTAGTTGTGCCTGTAGGATAGGAAGAAATAGTATATTCATCTCAAAATATGATCTCATGATTCTGCTAAATGCCTGTTTTAATTTTTTGTAACTGGGGATTGAACCCACGGGTGCTTAATCCCTGAGCCACGTCCCTAACCTTTTTTATGTTTCTTTTGACAAAGGGTCTTACTAGGACCTCTCTAAGTTGCTGAAGCTGGCTTTGAACTTGCAATCCTCCTGTCTCAGCYTCTAGAGTCTTTGRGATCATAGTTGCGCAACCACCGTACCAGCAAGGTCTCTCTGTTTTATCAACTCATTCCCCAAGCCCGTGTGCTTGGTGCCATGGGAAACAGAGGATCTGGGGATCTTGCCCAAGAGATCTGGGCCCTTCATGTCCAATTCCAKCTCAGGGAGGCAATTTCTGTCTGCATTCCACTTTCTTAGAGACTCCTGCATCCCACTCACTCTACCCCATTTGGTAGGAGCCTTATAGTTCTGGTAAACAGAGGAAAAATAATAAATCTTTATTTCTATTTCTTTCTTTCATTCAGAAAAAGCAAAAGATGAATCAGTCAAAAAGGACAGACCATATAAGGTCTTTTTCAAAGATCTCTTTCTTTTCAAAGAAAATGAAATGGAAGCAAAGAAAAGGGTAAGCTTTTATTAAAAATCACAATCCCAATTAATGTTATAATCATATCCTCTTATTCATCATTCTTATGAATTTTTATGGTGTCAGATATGAGGACTTACATGGTGTGTGCCCCATACTGTCCTGGGGAGACACCCAGCACAAGGCAGGGATCTGCAAAGATCGCCACCCAATGGCAGAAGACAGGTGTTACAATCCAGTATGGCAACTAYAAAGTACCCTACTCCAACAACACCCACGTTTTTCACATTTTTGCATTTCTAAAATTGGAATGCAGCTTCCATAGATAGGATGTCATTGGCCATACATAAAATAATAGTGCTTCTTTTTTGGCACTAGGCATTGAACCCAGGGGCACTTAACCACTGAGCCACACCCCTAGCCCTTTTTGTATTTTATTTAGAGACAGTGTCTCAATGAGTTGCTTAGGGCCTTGCTAAATTGCTGAGGCTGGCTTTGAATTGTGATCCTCCTGCCTCAGTCTTCCAAGCCTCTGGGATTACAGGTGTGTGCCACTACACCCAGCTAATGCTTTCTTAAAATAAATGGCATCCTAGAGTTGACAGGCTACTGTAACAGAGGCGTCAAAGGAAACACAGACAAAGGTCTGCCCACCTTTACCGGTGAGAAGAGAGAACAGGGTGGTGGTGATGTGTAGGCAAAGACTTCACTGAAATAACAGGAGCAGAGTCTCCAAGAAGAAGTCAAAATTGGCTGAGCTGACAAGATATGTGGACAGACAATATATGTGTTGGGGAGTGGGGAGGAGGAAGACGGGATAAAAGTGGAGGAGGGGGTACCATTTCAGAATGATCTGGTGTAGAGCTATGCCAGTGTGTGCCTTGCAGTGTTGCTCTCACTGTGTGTGTGGTCACAGCTAGAATTTCAGATTTACTTTCCTTCCTCCTGGAGCAAAGGTTGACAAAAGGACTTTCTTTACCTTTGTTAGAATGAAAAAAATATCTAGAAATGCTTGACAACTGGTTCATCTGTGTGTGATGGTTTCCCGCAGGTGTTATATATAGTTGTGTTGAACTTCTCCCAAAATTAAATTGAGAAAATATGGGTGAAATCTGAAGCCTAAAAAAATTTTTTWAAATGTCCACTTGGGACTTCTATTTTTCTCTCAGGTTTTCAATTTCATGGACTCAACACTTTGGGCAAGATAAAACTGTGAAGATATATAAATAAATGCAGAAGGACATTTCCCAGTCCTTCATATTTGTGAAACACAATTTAATAAAAATTAATTTTTAAATATATTTATACTCAGTTTTCTATAGGAAGGAAATTATGCATTCCTTCAAAGATAAGAATTGAGGGTTGCTGGTTTAATGTTAATATCATTTATTACAAATGACATTTTTATATATGATCTCTATTTGAAAACAAGATTACTTGGATACATTAAAAATTCTTCTAAACTTTGCACTTGGGCAGGAAAAAATTTTGAACCGTAGCATGAAAGTCTACCAAAAGTCTACTTTTTCATCCCGAATGAAGAGTCGTTCACACCTGAGCCAAATAGCTCTTCTTTCTGACAGAGGTGATGGCTCATTTGAAAAATTTGGGTTGGATCCAATTCTTATTCTCAGATTAACAGAAGGTAAGTCTAAGTTACTCTTTGATTCCGAATATTGTTTTGAATATTGTTGATTTCAGAGTTGGGTGCTTCTCTGGAGGTGAGAAAAAACAGAAAGTATGCTAACTTATAATTAAGGGAAAGTCTCTGTAAAAGGGGGTTGAGAATTGGGAGAGAAGCTATTTTTAAACAGGAAAGCATATTTTTCCAAGAAGACTGATTCTCATTTTCATGGCTCTCAGGAAGATAGTCACTGCCAAAATAATACAGTATTAAAGTTGGCAAAGGTGCCAGCCATTCATACTGAGTTTTATTTGTGGAAATACAGAAACTTTCTAAGAATGGAGTAGCTGTAGAATTCATATATTCAGAATCAGGAAGCTAATAGAATTTAATAAGTATGCCTGTTGTTTCAAAAACATAACTGGGTTTAATGGCCTTTGAAGGTAACATATTAAAATACTCCAAAATGGTAATAATTGTTTTATGAAAGAAGGCAATCTGGGTATCAAAAATGACATGAATATTCCATACTTATTAGATCAAGAAGTGCCTAATGATTTATGATTGAGTCATAAAATCTTTTCCCATAAATGAATCTTTTTTCCAATTTTTTAAATTAAAAAAAWATAAGGAAGGAAGAATGGACAGACAGACCCATATCAAGTGCCCAGGATTTGCTGTGGTAACTTAAAATGTTTTTCCTCTGGCTCCCAAAGTCTTTTCAGTTTCCAAAATTATGAAAAGAAAATCTTTTTTAAAAAAGATTTTTTTAGAACTTTATTTTATTCATTTACTTTTTTATGTGGTGCTGAAGATCGAACCCAGCGYCTCACACGTGCCAGGCAAGCGCTCTACCACTGAACTACAACCCCAGCCCCTGAAAAGAAAATCTTGAGAGAATAAGAAAAATATTTAGAAAAGGACTCTGAATTCAGTAATCAAAACAGAAGTCATGTGCCTTAGTCAGCTTCCTAGGGCTGTGGCTGAAATACCAGACAAGAACAGCTTTCTGAGGAGGGAAAGTTCATTTTGGCTCAGAGTTTCAGAGACCCAGGCCATGGTGAGCTGACTCCAAGACTCTGGGCCCAAGGTGAGGCAGAACATCATGGAAGATGGGTGTGGCAAAGGGAAGCTTCTCAGGGTCACGGTGGCCAGGGAGCAGAGAGAGCAAGGGGAAGGGCCTACCGAGAAGATGTAACCTTCAGGAGCACACCCCAGTGACCCACCTCCTCCAGCCGCACCCACCTGCCTACAGTTATCACCAGGATGGACTGGTTAGGTGACAGCTCTCACCATCAAATCATTTACCTCTGAAAATTCCTGCATTAACACCSGAGCTTTTGGGGACACCTCATATCCAAACCGTAAAACCAAGCGAAATGGTTTAGAAAATTTGATAGGTGCACATGGAATTGTGTGACATGGTGGCACGTGGTGCCAGAGACKTCACCACAAGTTCTAGGGCATGTCTGGATCTCACCTGGTATTTCAGAATTAGCCTCTGTAGAATGGTGAACCCAGGTCCTCAAGGCATTTAAAATGACAGGTGGCATAAAAAGAATTCTGCCTGGAGTGAGGGATTTCAAGAATCCTTGTTGCCACTGTGGAAGTTTCGGGATAACTAGGGAAGCATAGCRGAGGAGACAACCTGGGTGCCCACCATTATTGTTTCACAAAGACGTCGCTGGTGTCTTGGAAGTAAATGCCACAGGGTAAATGACACTTCAAAAAACGGAAACAGTGAAATTAGTGTCGTCCAGGGCAATCTGGGCTCCCTCAGCCATGGAAGCAGGGTTATCCATTTGTGCTGGTTATACAGATAAAACATTGGGACATTGTCCCTTAAATCTCCCTCTGACTCTTATTTCCAGTCAGGAGTCGATTTGAATGAAACTGCTATGTATTCTTCAACCTCACATTCCCTGCCTGAATTCAGATTGAAAACACACCTACGTGAGAGTAAAGTTAGCCAGCGACCCCATTCATTTTATTTCCACGTACTCAGTACTAAGAGCAAAGTGCTAAGTCACCAGCAAAGGAAGTCCACAGGCAACTCGGTGTCATGGATAGCTCATCTGCCTACATGGCAGAAGTGCCATTTCCTCTCTGTGCGACTGGCAGCCTGAGTTTGGTTTTGTCATCAAACAGCAGTCCTGAATGGCTTGTCTCAGGGGCTTTCAGACTGCTCTTCACATCCCCAGTGAGTGAGGGAGGTGCTCTGGGGTCGAGAGACACACTGCACCTTGAGGAGGGCTCTATCACCTAAGTTCTCTTGCTTGGAAGATCTGTCTGATAGCTAGAATAGCCAAAATGGGAAACCTACAATTATGAGTCTTATTAGATTAGAAGGATAATCAGTTGCCACGTTCAGGTAGACTGAGCTTATTTCTGATAAGTTGATAGGATATTCAAATTTATTTTCAATCGGGCTGACCCATCCTAAGTGACCAAATGAAAGCGATAGTGAGCACTTTCATTCGTTTTTTTTTTTTTTCTTCTTCCCATTAAAAATGTCCAAGTATGGGCTGAGGTTGTGGCTCAGTGGTAGAGCACTTGCCTAGCATGTGTGAGGTCCTGGGTTTCAATCCTCGGCACTATGTAAAAATAAAGGTACTGTGTTCAGCTACAACTAAAAAAAAAAAAAAGAAAGAAAAAAAAAGAGTGGATAAGACTCTTAAAAAAATAATTTAAAAACCCACACTACACAGAAAGTAATTTCAGAAAGTGGATACGGGATGGCTCTTTGACCTTAGGGGTCATGCTGAATATATTGAACCTGAGTCTAACTGAATAAATATGAGGGTCTGAGCACCATGTTACATAATATTACAAGGATGAAATATGCCAGATTCATTATGTGGAAAATTCCACAGGATAATCTGCCTGGTTTCTTGAACAAATGAATTGTATGGAAAAAATGGTGGAAAGGGGGATCCCCCTTTCCACCTGAGGTGGGGGATCACATTAAGGAATTRGCTTTGTGAAGTGTGAAAGTGGTATGATGGTCATGTTTTTAAATTACCTGGTCAGGAGGAGTACATACTGGGTATTCAAGGGATGAAATGATCCAAGAGTGTTGATTTTCTTTAAAATATTCCAGTGAGGGGAAGAACTGAGGAGGGGGGCGACAGATGAGACTGGCAAATYGTTGATAAGGTTAAGGTAGCTGACAGGTCCAAGGGGGCTCATTAGAWGACTCCCGAGTTTTATGAATGTTGGTGATTTCCCTTATGTAAAGTTTTAAAARAATACATTGAAAAAGATAATTGTGCACTAAGCACTGATGACTTTGATATGCATTTTATTTATTCCTCAACAAAATGCTGTTAGATAGTTTGGCCTCCTCTCCTCTTTGCATAGGATGAAAGTGGCTTAGTGAGGTTGAGTCACCCAGAATTTCTGGTGAATCAGAATTCAAATCAAGGCCTGGTGCCCACGTCCTACTGGGCGATGGAATTTGGGTTTCCTCTGCGTGGAGTGAGCTATCTGCAACATAAAGCTAAGAAAAGAAGGTGGTGGGAAACACACACACACACACACACACACACACATACACACTACACAGAAAGTAATTTCAGAAAGTGGGGATGGGATGGCTCTTTGACCTTAGGGGTCAAGCTTCCACACTGGGAAGAGAGCTCAAGAGCCCCACATTTGCTTTATTATATATGGGGGAAACTTCAAAGGTTTTCCATAGAATGTTCTTCTGCCAAATAAGGTAGAAAGTGGGCTGTCCAGGCCCAATGGGTTACACCCAATTCCAGAGCTAGGAGAGCAGTCTCCCTAGCCAAGCTAGGTCACACACATTGCATAATCCACTAAGTGGGAGGAGCCACAAAATAACTTGCAATTCCAAACCAAAATCTCCTTGGCTTAAGGCCGAGTGAAGACACTAAATAGTTTAGGGGTGGCTCCAAAGTTTGTTGTTTGTTATCACCCAACTAATGCTAATTGATGACTGCAATAATCATCATGGCCATCAGTGTTGACCTTAAAAAGTTAAATGATTCCCCATTCCAATTGTATTTTTTTAACAGCAGCTAACAATTGTTGGGATGTTACTGTATGTTTCATGATCCATTGCTTCATTTCCTTCTCCCAGCACCATTATGAAATAGTCACAGTTGTACTTAAGTTATGCTTTGGTAATAAGCCACTTCTAAATTTCAGTGACTTCCAGTCCCAGCGGTTTAGTTCTCATTCACTTTTTAAGTTTGATATTTATTTTCCCCTGGATCTTCCACTATAAAAACAATCGATCAGTTGTCCTTCTGCTGTAGGAACATCCTGTCTAGGATGTTACTGGGGTTGCAGCAAAGGGGGAAAGAGAAATGGGTGGTGGTTCCTGAACCTTCTGCTTGGAAGCAACATAGAACATGTCCATGCCCATTCCATGGCCAAATCGAGTCAAGGACGAACCTGACATCAAAAGGGCAGGGGATAATCCCTCATAGAGAAGCAGCTGATATTTGGGTAATAGAATCTACCACAATTAGTATCCTCATTGGACAGATGAGGAAACTGAGGCATAGACAGGGTGAGGACTTTATTCATGTTCCCCCCAGCTAGTTAGAGATGGGTGAATGGGACCCCAGGAAGAGATTAGGCCTCCTGATGCTGCACAGGCTCAGTGGTCATTCAGGAAATGTTTTATTTCCACTTCCACTTATGTTATATTGAGAGACTTTATTCTGTGTCATGTTTAGTTGTGTGTTTCTTTTTAGGAAACAAACATTATTGAAATGCAGGATATGTATAAATTTGCAAAATGAAGAAAACTTGAAGGGAAATTTTTGGTATTTTCCATTTTATTATATTTTGTATTTAATTGATTTTATTTTTTTTAAATATACAACAGTGGAATGCATTATAATTCTTATTATACCTATAGAGCACAATTTTTCATATCTTTGTATATAAAGGATATTTTTTATTTTAGTTTGCTAAATAGTTGTTATCCTGTTCTTTYCTGATATAAATTTGGTTTGTGGTCCCCAAAAACATTTTGCCTGAGAACTCTGTATCTCTGAATTGTCCATGCATTAAGATTTAAACCAATTTAGTCTTATTCAGTACAACCCAGGCTTGGGAGACATATCCTGGGAGACACATCCCCGACTCTGCTGCTGGTGAGCTGTGTGATCTGGGACAAGACTTTTGACAACTTTCAGACTTAGGACACAGACAGGATGAGATAGCAATAAATACCTCATTTGGATAATTGTCAGGATTCAATGATATATTTAAAGTGTTTAATAAAGTTCCCAGACCATGATTGGGCATAAAATAAATGGTAATTACTATCATTATTATTACTATTATTAATTTTCTTTTTTGGAAGTTATAGTTTAAGGAAAAAAAGTAACTACAGACTATATATCACAACTTAACACTTTCATTCCATACAACATCTCTGACAGATAAAGTACTAAATTCAAGTCTATTTAAATTTTCTTTACAGGTGCAGATGCGAAAAGGACTGTTCATGAATTTATTAACGACCAGAGAGACAGGTTTCTACTTGAGGTAGTAAAAATAATTTCTTTCTCCCAGTTGCCAAATAGAAGGCTTCTTGCATAGCATCACTAAATATTCACCTTATATACCTTGTATTTTGCCATTACATGTTACAAATCTATTAGCTGAAGAGATCAGTTTATTTCTATATTCATTCATTTGAAAAATGTTTGTTGAGTGCCTACTGTGTGCCAAGCAGTGAAAATCACAAAGACCCTGCTGTCAGAAAAGTCCAGAACCCTTCCAGCTTTGACTATACCCACTTTGGCCAGAAGAAAGCGCCAGGTCCCCATTGAAGAATTTCCTATAAAAATGTCAGAGGCTTTTATCCTACCATCAAAAACCCTTAGCTAGCAGGTAGATACCTGAAAACATGATTACTTAATATCTTCCTATGAATATTCATTTACCATCAATGAAGCAGAGACACCAAGCTCTTGACAAAGGGAGAATAATTACAAAAGAAATTCATTGAATGTTGTTTCCGATGCAGCTGTCAAGTGTCTAATCATCTAGAGAAGATCATCTGCCTCTTCTAAAGTCTTTGATGTGGATGAGTGAATGAAAACATGTTTAACTTTTCATAATGTCACACCACACATTCTGGAACAGAAGTCACTTGGCTGCCAGCTGCAGTACCCATAGAAGGTCTCCCTTGAAGTTATAAATATAACCTGATGCCTTTGTTTTGGTGAAGTGTCCCAAAGTCCCAAAGTGACTTGTAGAGTCCCCTTATCAAAAAGACTTGCATGTAGTTTAAAAAAAAAAATAGCTTTGCCCAAAGAAAGTCTGGCTTTGCTCTTGACTTCCAGTGATTTTAAGGGTGATGCGCAGGCCACATCTGAGAGTCTTAAGATGACTATGACAGGAAAACCAACAATGTGACTTAGAGCTGGGACTGGCTGGCTCCTACTCAGGATTAGGGACCAAAGACTGATCAACCCTGTGGTCTATCAATGAGTCACGTCTACCTCATGAAGCCCCAGTGAAAACTCTGGACACTGAAGCTCAGTCGAGCTTCCCTCACCAGCAACACTGTGTCTCTGTGCAGCTGCTGAGTGGGTAACACATCCTTTCCAGGGAGAGGGAATCCAGGAACCTTTGCAGTTAGAACCTCCCAGACCCTACCCGATGRGCCTCTACCTGTAGCTGACTCTAATCTGTGTTATTTCCTTGTTATAAACGGAACCCATGAGTTTTGTGAATTCCTCTGGAAAATTGCCAGGACAGAGGTGGTTTTGAGGAACTCCTTGAACTTGGCAGTTGGGGTCCGAAGTGGGGGCAATCTCGGGGTATGCCCTTGAAATTTGGAAGTCCCACTACCTCTGGGTCACTTATAATAATTTTCAAAAGCCAGATTGGTTTCATGGTTCCTTTCTTTCTTTCTTTCTTTCTTTCTTTCTTTCTTTCTTTCTTTCTTTCTTTCTTTCTTTCTTTCTTTCTTTCTTTCTTCCATCTTTTCTTCATTCCTTTTTCTGTTTGTGGCAGAATTGGGAGCTGAAATACCCATCTAAAAGACGTGTGAATGCTAACGTATCATGAATGTACTCTGATGGGCAACTTTATGGCAATAAATTTGAGAACAAAAAGATGCACACTACCAAAGCTTACTCCACAGGAAAGAAATAAACTGAGTTCTTTTATGTCCTTTAAAGAAACTGAATTTGTAGGTAAAGATATTTTCCATAGGCTTTTCAAACCCAACATTTTCAAAGCTTTGCTCCTGCGATCATCTTCCCACCCTGGCAACCTCATCTCATGTTCTCTACTCAGTAGACATCCATTCCATTTTTCCAGTTGCTCAGGCCCAAACGCTGTGGTTCTCCTTGACTCTTCTCCCAAACCACATCTTTGTTCAAGATCTAACCACAATTAGACTCTTCCGCCACCACTGTAGCCCCAGCCACCACTAAGTCTGCATGGATTGTTGTTATAGCTTCTGAACACTGGCCCACTCCTACTTTTGCTTCCTACAGTCTCTTCTCCCTGGTAGGAGGATCATGCCCCTCGTGGCTCATACCTGGAATGCCCTGATGGGTTCCTGCCTCTCTCTGAGCTTGCTCCCACCACTGACCTCTTGCTGGCTCCCTCCAGCCACAGTGGTCTACTTGCTGCTCCTGAGATGCACCTTGCCTCAAGGCCTCTCCATTGGGGGCTCTTCCTTCCAGGGGGACCATTTCTCCCTCAGATACCCTTTCTATGCCCTTGCCCTCTATATCAACTCCATTCTCCTATATCAACTCTTCCTTCTTAGAATAGACATTCCACTAAAGCCATTGTATCTATTTTGTTCACCACTCAATGTGCACCACGTAAAACAGTTCTGGCACACAATAGGCAGGCACTCTATAAATCCTTGAAGAGTAAATTAATGGATGAAATCTTTTTGTTATAAACTTGGAGGGTCTTATTATTGGTTGTGACTTCCCAAAATTAACTCATTTCTTTCTTTTCTTTTTTTTTTTTTTTTTTTTTTTTTGGTACTGGGGATTGAACCCAGGGGTGCTTAACACTGAGCCACATTCCCATCTCTTTTTTATATATTTTATTAGAGACAGGGTCTCACTGAGTTGCTAAGTGCCTCACTAGATTGCTAAGTCTGGCTTTGAACTCGAGATCCTCCTGCCTCAGCCTTCCGAGCCACTGGGATTATAAGCGTGTGCCACCGTTCCTGACAAATTAATTCATTTCTGTATTTGAAGTTCATGGATATTATCACATATGTGGCTTTGTTTTATAATCTGTTTTTCATGTATGGATTAGAAACCCAAGTGTATTATTATATTCTGTACCAAAAAAAAAAAAGTAGATGTCAAATCGTACTTGGGGAATCCAAGCAGGCCCCTTGGGTCTGGTGAAGCAGCATGGAGAAAGGCATGTCTGGCACGGTGGGGTTGACAGTGCTTCCTCCCAAGGTCCTTCCTATTGGTGGAGAAGCTGGTAGCCTTGTTGATTCAGACAGACCAGTTTCCTGATGTCCAGTAAGAATTGGAGGATAAAATGCTAAGAATAATAGATGGCACTGCTCTTTGGAGAGATAGGCAGCTATTTTTGATTTATGGTGCATAGCTATTTTGGCACATTACAGTCCTTTCATAAAAGTGAAAAGAATTTGGGGGCTGGGGATGTGGCTCAAGCGGTAGTGCGCATGCCTGGCATGCGTGCGGCCCGGGTTCGATCCTCAGCACCACATACCAACAAAGATGTTGTGTCCGCCAAAAACTGAAAAATAAATATTAAAAAAAAATTTTTTTTAAAGTGAAAATAATTTCTCTCCCTTGTGACAGTTCCTCAAAGTTCATGGCTTTGAATTTGTAATCCTCCGGCCCAAGCTTCCTGACCTGCTGGGATTACCCTTCATGAGATAAAAGCTCTTGTCCCCAGATTTGGGCACAATATCACTTCTAATACAAATGCTCACTTACTGCATAACTTATCCCCCCCTTTATCGTGAGACTGTCGAAATGTATTTGAAATGTGTGCTAATGTTCTTGACGAACTTTCTGTTTTCCATATTCCTAGTATTCTCTGTCAGCCAAAAGAAGCACAATTAATAAGTTTGAAAAACACATAGCAACGAGGGAAAGACAACTTAGAACGGCAGAAATTAAGCTGGAACATGACGCAATGGCCTTTGAAGAGTTCCTTCGAGAAAATGATCAGAGATCTGTAGATGCTCTTAAAATGTTAGTGCCTTCACTCTGGCCAAATACCTCTCCCCACTTTGTTTGTCTTAGTTTCTCAGAATACAGCACGACCCCCAACCAACCAACAACTCTCTGTTACTTTTCAGTGCAGCACAAGAAACTATAAACAAACTTCAAATGACAGCAGAGCTAAAGAAAGCCAGCATGGAGGTGCAGGCGGTGAAGAGGTGAGGGCAGGCTCTAGCTTCTCATTATCCAGTTCTCACCTCCCACTGGAACCTGCTCATGTCTGGCTAGGACCTGAGTGGGAGCAACCCCTGTCTGCTGATGATGTAATAAGTGTGAACAGGTTTAAAATCAGTAACCTGTCTCTGCCTGGGCATCAGTACTTGGCCACTCTCTGAAAAGGTTCTCTAACTTGTAGACACAGAAATAAAGAAATTAGTTGAAAAGAAGCAAACCGATGTTAGAAGTAAACAATAAATCATCTTCTAAGTGCCCTTTCTTTTAGTCATCTTAGAACATATTTCCCGACATTTTAATACCTCCAAAATTAGGATTCATTTTACAATTGCCCTACAATTATAATTGGTAGTGTTTTTTATATATTTGTACTTTTTTTTTTTTGAGTACTGAGGATTAAACTCAGGGCACTTGGCCACTGAGCCACATCCTCAGTCCTATTTTGTGTTTTATTTAGAGACAGGGTCTCACTGAGTTGCTTAGCACCTTGCTGTTGCTGAGGCTGGCTTTGAACTTGCAATCCTCCTGTCTCAGCCTCCCAGGCCACTGGGTGTACTTATTCCTAGTAGAATCTAGTATTGCTGTTAAAAATCAAGATCTGTAATAAAGAAAAAAAAAAACTACAGGAGCAGGAGTTGGGATTAATTAATATTATTGCACAGTCCACTTTTTAATTTTTTTTTCTTTTTAGTTATACATGACTGTAGAATGTATTTTGACATATTATACTTTTTTTTTTTGGTATCAGGGATTGAACCCACCAGTGCTTTACTATTGAACCACATTCCCAGCCTATTTTATTTTCATTTTTTATTTTGAGACAGGATCTTGCTAAGCTGCTCAGGGGCTCACTAAATTACTGAGGCTGGCTTTGAATTTGTAATCCTCCTGCCTAAGCTTCCTAAACTGCTGGGATTACCCATCTACTACTCTTTCTTTGAATATACTACTCTTTCTTTGTATGTTTCCTTGTATAGTAGAAGAAACTTGCTTGAACTAATTTTAAAYATCAAAAAATATTTCTGTCACCATCCTGGGACACTAATTTCACGATCCAGGAGACACTATGGTTTGAGAATCAAGTAACACTAAAACTTGTTTTTTTTTTCTTTTTTAAACAATTTTTTTTTTTAGTTGTAGATGGACACAATACCTTTATTTTATTTGTTATTTCTATGTGGTGCTGAGGATCGAACCCAGTGTCTCATGCATGCCAGGCAAGTGCTCTACCCCTGAGCTACAACCCCCGGCCCTGTTTTTTTCTTTTTCATAACTGGATGTTCCTATCTCCTCTGAGACCTCATCCTAGACTTGTAACATCCTAGAAGTTCTTGGGAGGAGGGCAATAACTATTTAAAGTGCCTCAAATGAAATGGATGATAGCTTCTTTGAGACCAAGTGAGCAACAAAATATGTGTTTCAAACACATTCTTGTTACAACAGCCTCTTCTGTTTTAGAAACCTAAAGTTGAAGGTGCTCCAAGATGGAGAATTCCCTTCCCTCCTTCACCCTGCAGAGTAATTAGAAAATTCTGCACATTTCAAGGATGTTTGTAGAAGCAGAGCAGCAGCCAGCCGCTATGTTTGCATTTATGCAAATGGCCACCCAGTGACACTCTCCAAACACTCTGCCAAAGCACTTTCTTATTGCTTCTGTGTCTCTTCATTCTAGAAAGGTGCACAAGATCATGGAGACAAGCTTGGGACAGAGCCAGGGATGCAGGTCCTCTTCTCTTTTGGGGCAAGATGGCCTGAGGAGGTCTTCCACCAAGCTGGGCTGGGACATGTTTACAATTGTTTACGTGTCAGCCAGTTTCCACACTGTGTTCTTTTTGGCACATCTGGGAGGATTTCTATCCACAGAGTGGTCAAGGAAAGGGATCCCATCATCTTCCAACTGCTGAAACATAAGCTAGCCATTTACTCATCCTTGAATACCACTCTCACACCAGAGCTGAAGGATGTTTCTCTCTGACAGATAAAGAATGGAAGCTAAGGATATTGATAAGATGCAATATCAATAAGGGTGCCCCTCGGGGTCTGAATAAGGAAGATGCAGAAAGATTCTCTCTTTTCACGCAGGCTGTCCTTCCTTATTTTAAGTATTTTCTGCTTGTCCCATGTTGGTGTAAAGCAATGTGAAGCTGGAGCTTGCAGTTCAGGTGTCTAGGTATTGTTGGTCATTGGAGTCAGACAGACCTAGGTTTGAGCACTAGATGACTTTGCAAGTCATCCATTTCTCCTTTAGAAAGTTGGTGATAATAATACCTACCCTTAAGAACTTACTGGAGGGTGAAATTTTGTCTGTAGTGCATCCCATGAGTTGCCTTTTAAAGTGTAAATACACTTTCTTTCCCTTATGTAAGTGCCATTTTGTTGTTGTTGTTGTTGTTAGCTTCTGTCTAAAACTTAATATAGTAAGTAGAGAGTTTCCCAAGTGTTTTACAACAGAGAAAAATTGTTTCCCACAACAGAGAAAAATTGTCATCAGCTTAGAGAGAATCTCTGGGCATATTCCATTCAGGTGACATTCCCACCAGTTTCTTTCTTCTCATATCTTATTGAAGCTTATATTTTTATGGCCATGTGTACAGTTTTTGACAAGTACATTATTAGTCAGCTACATAATCAAGATAATGAATTTTATGAAATATTTTTAATGTGTATGCTTTGACCCAGATACACATAACCATATCTTTGTTTTCTTTTGAGTTAGTGAAATAGCAAAAACAGAATTCCTCCTTAGAGAGTACATGAAATACGGATTCTTTCTACTGAAATTGTCTCCAAAACAGTGGCAAATTCAGCAAGCCCTAAAAAGTTCATCAAAAAATAATACCGTCATTCCAAAATCAATAAAAAGTAAGTTACTTTTTTTTTTTTTTTGTACCAGGGATTGAACCCAGAGGCACCTAACCACTGAGCCATATCCCCAGCCCTTTTTGTATTTTATTTCGAGACAAGGTCTTGCTGAGTTGCTTAAGGCCTTGCTAAGTTGTTGAGACTGACTCTGAACTTCAAATCCTCTTGCTTCCGCCTCCCAAGCCACTGGGATTACAGGTGTGTGCCACCGCACCTGTCACATATTCTTATTTTAATTAAGTCAGTATTTTTTATTCTAAAATGTTCTGCTTCAATATTTGTGTTTGTTTAAATAGTTGGGATTTTAGAAACAAAATCTGGACAAGGATTCCCATTATCTTTGTTACAATATATTGTTAATTTATTATCCAGGAGACACTATGGTTTGAGAATCAAGTAACACTAAAACTTGGTTTTTTTCCTTTTTTTAAAAAAATATTTTTTTTAGTTGTAGAGGAAACAGGTTAATTTCAGATATAAAGCAATAAAAATAGATACATGGAAAAAAGAGAAAATATATTATTTGCAGATGATATGATAACATAGAAAACCTCCCCAAATTTTTCAAAAACTGTTTATGACTAAAGAATTCTATAAAGTAGGTGAATATAAAGTCAATTACACATATTATTCTAAATAGACTAACTTGAATGATTAGAGACTATACAAGAAAATTGTATCCAAGAAAGCAACTATAAATTTAATGTGTGTGACCTGGAAATTTGATAAATAGAAAACTGTCATATTTTTGGACAGCAAGACTAATATTCTAGAGTCATAGATTTTCCTGAAACAAATGTATACATTTCATGGAATTACAATTAAAATGTTACCACAGATTTAACCCAGGGAGTTGGGTTTGGGGGCAGAGAGAGCTTTCCACGATAATTCTGAGGTTCATCTAGAAAAAAAAATGTTTTGAGTTAAGAAGATAACRAAGCCAGAAGAAGTGGTGCATGCCTGTAATCCCAGTGACTCGGGAGCCTGAGGCAGGAGGATGGCAATTTCAAGTTTAACCTGGGCAATTTAGCAAGACCCTGTCTCAAATAAAAAGGGATGTATTTCAGTGGTAAAGTGCCCCTGGGTCCCCCCAGTACACAGTGGGGTGGGGGTGGGGGGACCATGAATGGAGGGGTTTACCAATCCTTTAAAACATAGCCACAGAGTCAGTAATTCAATAGCATGCGGTTGGTATTAGGAGGTCAGCTTCAACGGCCCAGAAATAGACCCCATAATACAGAGGAATTTAATAGCTGATGGAAGTGGAACCACTAATCCCAATGGAAGACTTGCGCTTCCAGCAACATTAGAGTAACCAGGACCAGACTTACCCTCCCACCTGAAAAAAGGTTTCAGAAACTGGATAAACAATAGAAATCAGCGTTTTCAGACACTGGCTATCAAGCAGCAAAGCAGGGTGCTCCCTGTGTGGCCATCCAGGTGGCCACACAAGGAAGGGGGTGGGGGTCAGCTGGAGCAAAACTACACACCAGGGAGAACTCCTTGTGCTGAGAGCTGATTGTTAAACACTTCCCAGCACTGGAGCCCGCTCTGCTCAGTTCCCAAGTCCCTCACTGCGCCAAGTGTGAGTAAGTGAGATGGCTTGTGTAGTGCTGAGCCAGGTGAKGATGCGGAGTTAAAGCTTTGACCAAGACAGACGACAAACAGAAAAGAAAATGGAGAATTATTTGCGTTCAACAGCTTGGGATGTAACCCTTTAGACTTGTCATCTCAATAGAGGGTGCTCAGAGCCCTGAGGGTCTCTCTGTCCAGAGGTGTCTCTTAGCTAACCCTGGGATTTCAGGGTTTATAGACTGACATTGGAAATGGCGATCTCCTAGTGTCCCAAAGGTCTGTTCTCACCCCTTTTTCTACTCCAGAGACCAGCCCTTACCATTTGCAGAATATGTTTACCAGTTATAATGTCACCATATAATGTTTCTGTCCCTGGAAATTTTGATAATAACTGTACCTTCACACTGAGACAAAGATCTGATTCACAGAAATGTCTCTCCCCTTCTTCCTCCTTTTTACTTTCCATATCTAGAATCCTCCATCAGTTCCAGTAAAAGAGACAGCTTTGATATGGAGACGATGACTTCAGATGACTATTCTATGGGAAGAGGGAGCCTAGGTAAAAGTCAAGATGTGCGACTTCACTCCCCAAAGTAAAAACCAGAGAATGTGTCCCCCTCGAAATGGAAAGTGGAGGGTGTTGTCTCCATCACCCCTTATCCTTTCATTGCTTCAGGAGTTCTGTTCTATCTGAGGTTATCACAAAACTCAGAAAGGTGACCACGTGAACCATTCACCCCCTGCCTGACCCCCACTCGAGGTCTTCCTAGGTGGGCCCCCTCATTCCCCGGGTGCAGGTCTGCCTTTTGATAATAAGAGGCCCCTTCCCGGGGCACAGAAAACCAAGCTGGTTGCAACCAAGTGACTGCCTTTGGCCAGTGACTTGGGGGAAGTCACTCAATGCTACCATGTCATAGTTATCTCCAAGAACTCTTTCAGTCCCCTTCTGGGGAAGTGGCTTTCCTCTCTCCTTACTCCACCATAGCTGCAGGCCAGAAATTTGGCTCCAAGGTTTTAAGATTGTTTAATGTGGTGGCCAACATTTGAGAATCAGCAGATACAATGAAAACATCTGGATTTCTAGATTCTCTAGAAAACCACAAGTCCAGAGTCAAGTTGGGGAATTCCCCATGACAGGGGTTCTCCATCTCGGGAGGCCCTAGTCCCCACCAGACCCTCTTCCCTCCGGTACCTGTCCCTGTGCTGTGTGATCCCTCAGTACTGACTCTTGCTGACTCCTTTTCTCCTTTATACTGGTCCCAACCAGCAGGTATGTTTAGTGGTCAGGGTCAAGTCCATTTGCCTGCCCAGAAATGACCCTGGTTTGAGCCGGATGCCTTGTGCATTTAGTCTGCTGATTGGAAAAGGCAATTCTTTTGGCTCAGGAGGCCAGTTTGCACCTCCATTATTTAAGACATGTTACTTTGCCTGTTGGGGAATCTGGAGTAGGGCATTGGGGTCGGGGAGAAGTAGGTGATGGTATCAATGTTCTCCGCCCTTTGAAATCTTGACTATAGATGTCACTAAGTTTAAATAACACCACTTAACAGTTTTAATATTTTTAGTAATATATGTTCAGGTATTACCTTAAAAGCGAAGACGTTAATTTATAATGGTGGTGGGATCCTTCTGCCACTCCCCCGACCCACCATTTTTTATTCTTTCCTTTACTCACCATGGAGGCAAAAACTTTTTAAGACCTGACAAGAAGATGAATGTGACAAAATGGGGCAAAAGTCCCAACGTGTGACATACTTTAAAGACATTTAGGAGAGTCTTTATAGGGAAGGTCACATTTGAACTGGGTTTTGAAGAATGAATAGGAGCTTGCCAGGTGGGAAAAGAGAGGCCTTTCATGACTTCAAGGGAGAATAGCAGGAAGAGTGACTAAGGGGCAGAGAGATTTGGGGCTAGTGAATGAAGAGACTCATTTTGGCCACTTCTTAATTTGAAACCAGAGTTGGGCCCAAACCTTGATATGGGGGAACAAGTGTGCACAGGTGCCTTGTCTGTGACCGTGGGGAAGGGTGTCCCTCCACAGGATATTACGAAGCACACATCACTTTTATATAAAACTAGAAGCATGATGAACATTTCATAATTTCTGTGGCTTTCTGTAGTTGTACCCTACTTCTGACAACCCGCTTCCCCTCCATCCCAGCCCCTGTGCCTTTGATTTAATACTTAGGGTTGGAGCCCCATTTCAGTAGAATAAAAGAGCTCCATTTTCTATAAGATGATCATTCCGATAATAAAATCATGTTTTTGTTTTTTTTAAAAAAAAAGAAGTAACGGGCATATCTGTGCAGAAAACGGAGACCTTCCACCAAGTGAAAAAACTCATTTCTAATTGCATGTTATTTCTTTCCCCTCGACCACCAACGGCACGGACTTCACCTGACCATTCTGGACAGGAAAGCCACGCAAGAAGTCCACCCTCAACTCAGAACCTAAGAAATCACCCTGGACAAAGTACAGTACCTACTTGATGAACTCTCTTGGAAACGGGGCATTGTTTTTGAAAATAACCATTTAGCCTTCCCTCAACATAGAGACCACGTATGATATATCTATTGAGCGACCTGGGGCCCCAACAATAAATAAAAGACAATCTAGTTCCCATCTAGGGAGGAGAACAGACCAGAACTTGATTGTCACTCATGGGGCAGGTGACAGTGCCACTGGACAGGGAGGCAGAGTGCCACAGGCATGCCAAGGGAGCACTGGAGCAGGGGACAGGTGAGACCCTGGGGCAGGGGCAGGGGCAGTGAGTGCCCTCCAGAATGGCAGCAGCTAAACTGAGTCCCTGAGAGGAGGAAGAGGAGTTGATGAAGTCAAGCTCCCGGAGGGCAGGCCTTTCCAGCCCAGGTGACAGAATGGCCGAGCCCCAGGGTGAAAGGCAGAGAGAGTGGAGGGGTAGATGGGCACCGCACCATGAGTAGCGGGAATGCCATCCTAAGGAGTGGGCCTTTGTCCCACGGGCCCTGGGGAGCCACTGAGAGTTTGAAGCAAGAGTGTGGCACAGATTCAACCAGCTTTGCGTTTTAGAGAGATGGATGTGGTGGGATCATGGAGAATGAAATGGTGGGGGCAGAGATAGAGGTAGCAGGGCCAGTGGAAAGCCTGTTGTCACAATTCAGATAAGAGACATGGCAGTGGGAATGAAGGACAGGCTGGGACAGACACTGGCAGGACTCTGAGAGGTGCCTAAAGATTGAAGAAGTGTGTGGAAGAGAATGACTAAGGATACTCCCAGGTTTCCTGCATGGTCACTGGACACACGGCCTGCACTCAGTGATACTGGGAGCACAGGAGGAGCCGCAGGCCTGGAGAGGGAGAGGAGRGTGGGATTTTTGAATGTGTTGGTTGTAGCTCCTTTGGGGACAGTCAGGTGGATATTGATGTCCAATTGGAGGACAGACATTGAAGACAAGAGCTCAAGAAAAAGACCTTGAGATGAGGGAGTCGTGAGAGCATTAGCAATAGTTGGATCCATGGCAGAGAATGAGGTCAGCCCTGATGGGTTCATTAAGAGGGGAAGAAAGCTGAGGAGCGACAGAGGTTTATTTATGTAGGAGAGGAACCCCCAAAGGCCACAAGCTTCTGAGAAGTGAGAAGAGATTGATTAGAAAGTGGTGTTCCAGGAAAAAAAAAAAAAGGAGAAGTGGACAGTCTATGGAATGGTTTTGCCAAGGACATTTCCCAAATAGTCATCTTACTACCATGGACCGTCCTCTGTTTCCTCACACCTCTCAAAGGACGGCTCCAGGGCTGGGGCTGCGGCTCAGTGGCAGAGCACTTGCCTAGCATGTGTGAGGTGCTGGGTTCGATCCTTAGTGCCACGTGAAAATAAACAAACAAAATAGAGGTGTGCTGTCCATCTACAACTACCAAAAGAGGGGAGGAGGGGCAGTTCCAGGTGGGTTTGCTGTCCCAATTTTCTTTGCAGCATGAGCAAAGCACATTATTAATTTTTTCCTATCCCATCCTTCAATCATGTTCTTTCTGTGGGCTGCCTCCATGATTCTGGGCTCCCACACTACAGATGTCAGGGGTCTCTGTCTCGTGTCTGTTGGCTCCCACGGCTCTTCCTGCCCTTGCTTCACTCATCTATGCCCTGCACTCTTCTGTGTTCTTTTCCCACCACCACAGCTTCCACCAGATGTGAGCTACCTAGATCACAGCCACCCAACCCCTCCCCAATCCTGTCGCGTTCGTATTCCTGTYATTTTCAATTCATTTTTCTTGGAGGATTTTTTTCCCCTTTTCCAAATCACATAAGTATTCTCTAAGGATGTATCTCACTGCCCATCCCCCTAACCAGTATTTCTCACCCTGATCAGAAGAAATAGATATTTTGGTGAGGTTATTAGGGATTGAACCCAGGGGTGCTTAACCACTGAGCCACATCCCCAGGCCTTTCTATTTTTCATTTTAAAAAGTTTTTATTTATTCCTTTCTGTTATACATGACAGCAGAATGTATTTTGACTTATCATACATACATGGCCTATAACTTCCCATTCTTATGGTTGTACACGATGTGGAGCTACCCTGGTCGTGTATTCATATATGAATATAGGAAAGTTAGGTCTGATTCTTTTCCATTCCCATCTTCTCTCTCTTTCTCTCATTCCCTCCCCCTCCAATCTGGTGAACATCCACCTCCCCACCCTACACCCCACCCTGCTTATTTTCAGACATCATTCGCATATCAAAGAGAACATTCGGCCTTTGGTTTTGGGGGATTGGCTTATTTCACTTGGCATGATAGTCTTCAATTCCATTTATTAAGCRGCAAATGCCATAATTTCAATCTTCTTTATGGCTGAGTAATATTCCATTGTGTATATGTACCACTTATTTTTTATTTTGAGACAGTGTCTCACTAATTTGCTTGGGGCTTTGCTAAATTGCTGAAGCCGGTCTACAACTTGCAATCCTATTGCTCAGCCTTCCGAGTCCCTGAGATTACAGGCATGTGCCACCATACCTGGTGATCAGAAAATATTTTAAAAAATAAAATCTGCTCTTCAAGCAGAGTGAAGGGATGGGTAAGAGAAGACAATGCAGAATGAATTCTTTAAAAGTCATGTTATGTTCATCAACAAATATACCCCAGGGGATTTCACCTTTATGCATAAATAAAAAGAAGCAAATATAAATAAATAGATGAGCAAAAAGAAATCTAGTGGAGAAAGAAGGACAGAGGAGTGAAGGGAGGACGGGGGAAGAAAAGGGGGAAATCATGAAATGAAATGGAATTCCATGCATGTAGGAGTTTATTGGGATGAACCCAACTACTACATATCACTATAAAGCTCTATTTTTTTAAAAAAATCTGCTCTTAAAAAGATAGTTGTCTTTGGGCTACTCAACAAACTGTGATACAAGTTTTGTTTTGAGTACCAGAGCACACGTTTCAAAACTATATTTCAAAATCCTCTGTTGGTCCTATTGGATATAACAGAACAGATCTGGCAATGTAGGTGGGCATGTGTTTCTTTTTTAGAAGTTACTTCATAGATGCAACTCAAATAATTGGTACCCTATAGTACAGGGCCTCCCTGAATTTGTGAGCCTGACTGAGACTGAGTCTAATGTTCTTTGCATACTCCTAGAATCCACTGATTCCTGCAATAATCAGTTCCCTCGAAGGCTAAAGAGGGGGTTGGGGTTGTGGCTCTGCGGTAGGCACTTGCCTTGCATGTGTGAAGCACTGGGTTTGATCCTCAGCACCACATAAATAAATAAAATAAAGGTATAGTGTTATATACAACTTTAAAAAAAAAAGGCTAAACAGGCTATTGAAATGAACTATGTTACAGTTAGGTTTCAAAGACAATTGAGAAATGAAAGCAAAGCCGTTGATAAAAAAAAAAAAATGATATCAGACATTTTCTTCTTTTTGTCTTTGGCAGCCGGCCTGACAGTATCAGCTCTGAAGACAGTCTGGAGTTCTTTCTAGATGAAGACATTGACTTGGATCTGGTAACAGATGACATTTCTTGATTTATGGGTCATGTCTTGTAAAACATACAGACACCCATTTCTTCTTTGGGAATTAGAATTTTCTATCCCATACATTTTCCAGAAGGAAATAGAATGTTGAAACCATTCTTCAATTGAATATATGGTCTATCCTTGACATTAGACCATCTATGAGAAATAAAATGTGCATCAGAAGGTATGCACCAGGCCCTGGGTTCAATCCCCAGCACCACAAAAAAAAAAAAGGAAGAATAAGGTAATAATTTAGGGGGAGATATATAATTTACAACCTTTCTGTGAAACAGATTCTTTCTGATCATTTATCATTTTATTYGGGCTTCAGCTATATTGGGTACCTAAACCACAAAATAAACAGGCTTTCAACAAAATACTTCTGCAAAATTGATTTTGAGCTTACTTCATCTAAAATAGAACCACAGAAACTCAAAAGGAATTAAAATAAAAATCACCATTCTTTGTTATACCTAATACACCCCCTGTCCTCCTTTCTGTGTTGGAGGTGGGTACCAGGGATTGAATCCAAGGGTGCACTTAACCACTGAACCACATCCCCATTTTTTTGTTTTGAGACAGGCTCTCCTTAAGTTGCTCAGGGCCTCACTAAGTTACTGAGGCTGACTTTGAACCTGCAATCCTCCATCAGTTTTAAAAACTGTGTTTAAAAACACATGACATGGAATTTAGCATCTGGACCCCTTTAAAGTGCACAGTCCTGTCRTGCTAGCTACATGTGCATTGTACAACAAACCTCTAGAACTTTTTCATCTTGCAGAACTGAAACTCCAAACCCATTGAACCACCTCCCTTTCCACTCTCCCCCAAMCCCTGGCAACCATCATTCTTTCTGAGAGATTGGCTGCTTTAGATACCTCATATAAGTGGAATTACATAGCGTTTGTTGTTCTGTGACTGGGCTATTTCACTTAGCATAATGTCCCCAACATTCATCCATGTTGTAGTGTAGGACAGGCTTTCCCTCTTTTTTAAGGATGAATAATTTTCCTTTGTATATATATACATTTCCCTTTTTCCCTTGTCCATTCATCCATCCATGGGCATATCCGCCTCTTAGCTGTTGTAAATAATGTTAAACATGGATGTGCAGATATCCAAGTCATCTGTGTAAAAAAAGTAATATATACATATATATATATATATATATATATATATATATATTCTTTAAAAAAGTGATATTTACTTAAAGTAATATATACTTAATCCTAAAATTTTGGAAAATATAAAACAATTATAATGTGGGAAGAAAGTGACTTTCACTTAGCCTCCCATTTGCTCTCTTCTATTCCTTCTCCCTTGCCTGGCCTTGGCCTCCTTCTTTTTTTTCCTTGACCCTCCTCCTCTCTCCCTTTCCCTAATGGCTCTCATCTCTCCTGCAACACCCAAATGTCCTCTTCCTGAGACCCAGCTCTCCCTTGGAGATAACATGAGGCACCTACTATTCTCTACCTGTGTCTCCCTCACAATCAGAACAGTCGCCACAGTTTGGCTCCYGACTGTCCCCTAGAGGCCCTGTGTTGAGGACTGGTCCCCAGCCTGGGGAGCAGTGGGGTGTGGTGGGGCCKGGGAGAGGGGGCCACTTTGGTAAGTGAATCCTATTTTCTGTGGTTGCTTGGTCAGGAGCCAGAGCTTTATTTCAAGGAACCGGAAGAGTTACTTCAGGTCCTCACAGAACTGGAAGAGCAGAATCTTACTTTGGTCCAATATTCCCAAGATGTAGATGAAAATCTTGAAGATGTAAAAAAAAGAGAAAAAGTCATACATGATAAGGTGTAAGTCATTCAAAACAAGTGGGTTTAAATTTCCGTTAAAATTTCTGCCCAGAGGCTTCATGAGGGCTGGTCCTCACGGCTCCTTGGATTTGGGCTGGATCATTCATAGTAGTTCACCTTGTGGGCATAAAGAGCAGAAGCTGCTTACACAGAGCAGACTGGCTTTTGCAACATTTTGTCTCGACTTCCTTTCACTTGTCAAAGTACTTTTCCTTCTAATAATAAAAATAGTTTAGAGCACCAAAAACAATTAAAATGGTACCAGCTGCCTTATTTTGCCCCGTATAGTTTTCACCTTATCATCTGACGAGCCCTCATTTCCTTAATCAAATCATGTTTTGGATGCTAATCAATGCATTTTCTCTGGCTGAGATTCAACATCATTTAATAATAATTTAATATTTAATATTGTATCATTTCATAGTATGTTATCAATATGTCAGGGTTGTTCTAGAGGGATTTATGTCAGAAGAGGGAGATAGATGTAATAACTCACAAAATTCTTTCCTACCCTAAAATTTTATATTATGATGGTTTTGAAAAAGAGCTTCAGGTCAGAGAGAATAGACCTTTATATCTACCTATTATAAAAATATGTAGAACCTTCTTGGAACAGTTTTCTGGGCCTGGAGATGATAATCTTTTTAAATGACAGGTCACACTGCAGTTAGCTTCAGAACAAATGCATTTGTTCAGAAGTAAGAAGCTAAGAACAGGTGAGCCAGGGGTTGCTCTTGCCATGTCTCCCCAGCTGTGCTGAAGGTCTCAGGTTTGAAGAYACTTGCACAGCAGGTGACACTGCAGCTTGGGCTCTGCCACCCTCTATTTGTAGGACCAGAGGAAAACCAGAAATGAGAAAATGCCTTTCTGGAAAGCAGCATTTAAATGAGCATTTCTTTTCCTCCTTGAACCTTGCTGTGTGTACTTCAGCAAAGTCTTCAGTTTGCTTGCTAGGCACAGGATATTGACACATGATTCAGAATAAGTGTCAAAGCCCCTGTTGGTTATCTCACCAACCCGCAAGTTACAGACCAGGCTCTTTCTTCTTTTGCAATAGAAATAGCAACATTGACTTCCTGGTGGAGCACAAGGAAATGCTTAAGGCTAACTGTGTGAGAGAAGAGGAAAAAGCAGCAGAATTGGAACTGAGGTCCAGGCTCTTTAGTTTTGGAGAATTTAATTCGGAAGCTCAGGTAATCGTTCTTACCCTATGGTRATTTTATTTTGTAATTATCTTGCCCGTATATGATAGCCAATTTACTAGGTAGGAATCATTCCAATTGGCATTGAATTTCCCTTAAAACATTGCTCTAATTATTACAAAATATGACATCGAGGTTTTCCCTATAGATAACATTTCTTTATGTCAGAGCATATACGTAACAAAGTAGTTCACTGCCCATGATCACTTTGGTGGCAATTCAAGGAGCAAATGTATCTAATAGAGGAATAGAAAATTGGCCCAACACTGAGCCTGTAACAGAATTCAGCCTCTCTGGTGTTGAATAGAAAAGCTCATCATCACAGCACATCATCACAGCACCTGTGACACATACTCATATACACTTACTTATGGACAGGTTCATCTCTCCTGACTGGCTGCAAGTCCCCAAGGGTCCTCTTATTATCCTTAGCTCAGTTCCGTGTCCCCATAAAGTCGATGCTCAATAAATGTCTGTGGAATGAGTGATTCCATTAGTTTTGAGACCCACAGCAAATTCCATCTCACATGGGTTTCCTTGTAAAAACCTCAAGTGAAATAAAAAAAAAAAAGTCAAAGCTAACACGTGGGACTAACGTCATGTCTATGTCTATGAATCGATTTTCAGACAGAAATAGATTTGGGGAAACTGCATCAGAAATAGGTGACTATCCTTCCCAACCTACAGGTGGGCAGGGTTACAGAAGTGAAAACTGTTCATGGCTTCTTCACACATACATTCCCGAGGGTGTTACAGTGTCGTGAGCTAAGGGGAGATGAGGTCATCCTGGCTAGAGCAAGAGCRGTAGTGATGGCCACCTTCCAGTTCCTTATGTCTTTTATTAGCCATTTTTTATGGTGGTAAAATAAACATGAACTCCAAAATAAATGTGAACACAAATGGCACTAAGTATATCCTCATTGTGTAGCTATCACCACTATTTTCAGAAATTTTTCATCATTTYAATATAAAATTTAACACCTTAACCATTTTAAAATGTATGATTTGGGCTGTGGCTGTAGCTCGGTGGCAGAGCACTCACCTTAGTATGTGTGAGGCACTGGGTTTGATCCTCAGCACCATATAAAAATAAACAAATAAAATAAAAGCATTCTGTCCATTTACAACTACAAAATTTTTTTTAAATGTATAGTTCGGTAGTGTTTAGTACATCCCCACTATTTTATAACCCATCTCCAGAACTCTTTCATTTTGCTAAAATGAAATGCTATACTCATTAACCACTGACTTCCCATTGCTCACCCCCCCCCCCCAGACCCTGGCAATACCATTCTCCTTTGTCTCTATAAATTGACACTTTAGGGACCTCATAAAGTGGAAAGGCACAATATCTGTCCTTTGGTGTGAGCCTATTTCTCATTGTGTAATGTTTTCTAGGTTCCTTCATGTAGCATGTACATTTCCTTTTAAGCCTGAAAAATGATCCATTGTATCTACATATTTTGTTTCCCCATTCATCTTTTGATGGACACTTGGGTCCCTTCCACTCTTCAACTGTGTKAAGTAATTCTAAAGCTGAGGGGCATACAAAAAGTTTGATAAATGTGAGATCTACCCCACCCCCACCCCAAGGCAACCCTTTCCATCAAAGTTGAAGGCAACTATGAAAAAAGAGGCATTTTCACTACTCAACACTGAGGCAACCAGATCCCTAGAAAAAGCAGGGAGAATTGGTCTGAAAATTACTCTTTAGGATTATCCATAGCATTTTGGTCAMAAGTATAAATTTGACATCCATATCAAATTTTATTATGAGGCTAATAATCCTAGTCCCCCAGAGACAGAAGTATGGGGTGGGAAAGAGGAGGCAGAACAGGAAAGTTGAAAGGGAAATTCCTTCCTTAGAATTCTCCTATTTCTCCAACCCCATTCTGTCAGATCTCAAAATGTACAAAACACAATGAATAAATATAGTAGCACATCATTTTTTCCCAGTCAGGGGTCCTGGAGCATGCCTGTAATCCCAGCTACTCAGGAGCCTGAGGCAGCCTCCTGAACACAAGTTCTAGGCCAGCCTAGGCAACATAGGCCCTAAGCAACTTAATGAGACCATGTCGCAAAATAAAAAATAAAAAGGGCTGAGGATGTAACTSGGTGGTAAAGTGCTCGCCTAGTATGTGCAGCCCTGGGTTCAATCCCCAGTAYCACAAAGCAGCACACCTAATTTTGATATTCATAAGTTAAAGTTACTTTGAAGCTATAACTGTAAAATGAATATTTTATTCTTTCAAAACTGCCAAATTAACTGTGCTCGAGCCACTAACATTTTTTCCTTGATTCCATTTTATTTTTAAAATGAAAATTTAAGTACAACATAAYATTTAAAAGTGCATAAATCATCAGTGTGCTTTCCAAGGAACCTCCTGTCCCCCAATCCCCCATGTCCTCCTCCAAGGTACTCTGTGCTGGGCCTGCCATCTGGTGGCAGTTCCAGGAATCTGGCTTACATGTCATTTTTGTCACCCGTTGGCATTTCTGCCTTGTATTCTTTCTTTGGACCTTTGGCTCTGTTGGGCCAGGCCCTCAATCTCTTTTTCATATATAATTTATCTTCCTAATCTCATTCCCTTTTATTTATTAATGCTGTTCTTGTTTTTTTAAGAAGTTTTTTCTTGTCTTTTCTTTTTCTGTTTGATAAGGGAACTTAAAAAAAAAAAGTGAGAGGAAAAAGATACCCTGAAATGTCTCTGTCCATCTGTTTCTTAAATTTGTAGGGGGTCTCATTTAGAAATGTCTATCAACCATTATTCTCCTATTAAAGTTGCTTTTTCTCAAAACATATCCAATATATATTTTAAAATACCATGGTTTTTTTGTTCTAATGATTTATATTCAAAGAATTTTTWAAAATATCATTTTTAGTTGTAGATAGGCACAATACTTTTATTTTATTTATCTTTATGTGGTGCTGAGGATTGAACCTAGTGCCTCACACGTGCTAGGCAAGTGCTCTGCCACTGAGCTACAACCCCAGCCCCAGCAAGAATGTTTGCTCATGTGCAGTGGTTAGTATTTCAGTCCCATACGCTATCTTTTTTTCCTTTTATATTTTTCTGTATGTCTCCAAAGTTTTTAAATGGAATGTGATGTTATATAAACAGGAAACATTATTTTAGGGAGTGGGAAAAAGGGGACTTTATAGAAAACAGAACTTTTTTTGCTTCTTTTACATTTTGTATTTCTCCAAGTTTTCTATAAAGACCATTTTTAATATAAATAAGAAATAAGTATTTAGAGAGGGGGAAAAAAAGAGCTTTATGGTCAACAGGACCATGGAAGGGATCACTGAACTAGGAGGTGGGAGAGACAAGCTGTTAAGGTCCAGTTTAGTTCAGTTCTTTGCCTCAATGCTGGTGGCTGTGCAGGGAACTTGCATTTCCAGGAGGGGTTTTGCAGGGCTCCAGGAGCCACGTCTGACTTGAGTGTGTCATTTGTTTTTGGCTTTATGGTGATTCTCATCTTCTTGAGCAGAAGTGAGATTTGGGGCAGGAGGCTACCTAGAGAGTGGTTTACCTTGCCCAGCAGTTTCTTGAGGTCCCAGGTTAATGGTGGAGAAGGAGGAGGACAGTTATCTTATGGTCCTAAAACAAGTTACCAACCAACTCAAGCATCTATCTCTACCAACAGTTAAAATGGCACAGTGGTGAAGTACAGGGATCAGCAAGGTTTGGCCTAAGTTTATTTAGACTGGAATATGGCAATGGCTTCCCAATGACAAGCATAGAAATTAATCTCCTAAAAGAGCTCTGGTAGGCCAGCAGCCTAGGAATCTGTTTTGCTTGTGAGAGAGAATGCATTCATTTACTCAGCAAACATTAAGTGTATAGTGCTGTGCATAGTGCTGTGCACAGTGCTGTTTTAAATACAAGCGTAAGTATAAGAAGTTGCTCCTGTCTTTGCTTGTAGTCTAGAAGGGGGAGATAAGGTATATACAAATAAACTGTCAGAATGATTATAGTTTTAGCAATTAAAATAGAATGATAGAATAAAATGCATGTGGCAAAATGAATGATTACTTTTTATATCTAACTGTATTTTGAGAAAATCCAAAGTGTTGCTATGATGATCTGACTATATATTGTGATATAAATATCCTTGCTGCGTTTTCTCACTGATCTAGGTCATATTAACATTTTCCTTTATAAAAAGGAAACACTGAGGGACTGGGGTGTGTAGAACATACCTTTTAGTCCCCAACACCAATAAAACTACATACTAGTATATGAAGGGTTTTTCATTGTAACATAGTAAAACRGAATTTGATTTTATCAAATGAGCAACCAAATAGTGATGTGATGTTTCCTGCTTTCTTTTCTTTTCAATCTCAGGAAAAACTGATAGATTCACTTAGTAAAAAAATTAATCAAGTATATAAAGTCTGCATTGGAGATGCTGAGGTTGGCAGCCTGAATGCAGTTCAAAAGCTGGTCAAAGTAGAGTCTCGACTGGTGGAACTGAGCGACCTCATCGAATCCATCCCCAAAGAAAGTGTGGATGCAATCGAGAGGATAAAACAGAAGGAGAGGCGACAAAAGTATAGTCACTGCCTATGAGTATATTGTTAATGAGAGACTGCTTTTGCTTGGATTGCACATTGAGCAAATCTCAGATGGCAAGGATGCCACACAGAGATGCACTGGAGGGGTCAAATCCAGCCTTACCAGCCTCACAGAACWATTATTTGGTGTGGGGGACACTTACATCACATATTCTTAGGAAATAGATGTTCTTATTACCAATGGTAATGAGCACTGTGAAGGAAAGAGGCCCGGGGAACGGTTTGGGATGAGCAAGTGGGTCCCTTCGGCATGGAAACACGAATCTTCACAGAAATCTGCACAGGAAGTACTCATTTCTTTAGAGCTGTCATGTGGAAGAACTGTACTTGTGGTAAAGGACACAAGGCACAGAATTAGGAGCCTTTCATTGGAAAACTGTAGGAAGATAATTTAAGAAAGATTGCTTGAAAAAGTCAGAGCCAGCCACACAAGTAGGGTTTCCCTCAGTGCATAACTGCCAACACTTACCCAGTAACTCATTTATTCCTCAAAACAACCTCATGAGGCCTGTCCCTGAAACCCCCAACCCCCTATCCAATTGGGGCCTTTCAAGAAAACACACTTATTTACAGATTTCTACACCAAGTTAGATAAGAATTTTAAGTACATACTGTGGATGCATTGATTATTATAGCATTATTGCCTGTGATGGTGGCATGTAGGAATGTTTATAAGTGGGATAATGTTCATGTAGCAAAAAGCACACTAGGAGGCAGAATGGTACTACCACTCCAAGCATGGCCATGAAGCCTGGCTGTTGGGTTCAGTTCAGATCCAACTGTTTACAATGTTGCGATATTAGGCAGGCAGTATATTCTGTTTAGATTGTTTATCTGTCAAATGGCAGTAATAATGGTACTTATAGGGTTGATGTGAGAATCAATCCATACAAAAGCAGCAAACATGCTTGGCACATARTAAGCTCTCTAATATAGTCATTAATATTAGATTTTTTTCTACTATGTACTACATTACTGGTGTATGGGGAATATTGTTTCACCCATATAAAAGTGAAGTCTAGAATATATTAAGGTGAACCTAATGAGATCCTATTGAATATAAAGCAAACATGAAAATCTAAATGGAGGATCACTTTCTGTAAGGTGACCTCACTATGCATGTTCTCTACAGTAGCAAATGTATTCTCTTTAAAGTGCAATTACAATTTATTTACAGCAGTGATACACAAATCAAATTCCAATTATTTTCATTTGTATTAATAATGATTTTACTTGATTTTCTCCATGGTTTCAAAGTACCTAGCATAACACCCAACTCTGGATTAAAAAGTGTTTTGTATATCAAGTTTATATACAGATATATCAGTATATCGTCTTACACTTTGGATACAATCATACAAGTTCATAAAGCAACTAGCACTTGGTGCCTATTCTGCACCAAGCTGTGTACTAGACTATTTCTATTTGAATCTTTTTTCACACAAAAACTCAAGAGAGTAAGATAAATAACATTTATTGGTCTTATTTCAAGAATATCACACTTTTGTGGTGTACATCAAATTATATACACTTGTGATCTATATAGTCTTCTTGATGTTATACTTAAGTAAAAAGGTTTTAAAAGATAAGACAAGGGATAGCTAGAAGTTAATTTAAGTGGCTATGGTTCAGAAAGTGCTGCAATAATAGTGGARTGCTGAGAATGCTTGGCTTTTAGACCGAGGTCTAGGTAGATTTTACTTGTTCCATAATGAGGAAATGGAATTTCTTCCCACTTGTAAATAGGATTTCTTCTTCATATCTACCTGAACATTCAAAAGCCATTTTTTTTTATTGATAGTTGTTGATGGACCTTTATTTTATTCATTTATTTATATGTGGTGCTGAGAACAGAACCCAGTGCCTCACGAGTGCAAGGAAAGGGCTCTACCACTGAGCCACAACCCTAGCCCACCAAAAGTCATTGTTATGGGAATCTCATATTTAGACAATTCATTGCCAAATAGTAATTATGTATATATCTTTACTTTCTGTGGACTTTAGAGTACTTTATACAAGAATGTTCTTCCCTTCCTGTGACAGGTTGCGTGAAGAGAAAATGAGAGAAAAACAAAAGTACCAAGAAGAAAGGCTAAAAGCTGCTCTGGAAAGAGCTGTAGCACAACCAAAGAAAAAGGTTTGTGTTTTGATGTTAACAAGTCCAGCTGTATCGGTACGTGAATGCCTCTGTGGTACAAAAATAAAATACCTTACTCTTCTAATTTATCCAGGCTGAATTCCAGTGAAATTATCTTTCTTGCTCTCAGTTTCAATTCATCTCACTCTGGTGTTTAAGATAGTATTCAGTTTTCTGAAATTTTTGTTCAAAAAGATTTCTAAATGATGGGCAAGAAAGCAATCTTGTCTAACCACGGAGGAAGCATGAAGTGCTATGGCACTTAGTTAAAAATGAAATGTTGGCCTCCAACATGGTACTTTTTCTAGGATGGCCATGAACCACATGCTGTTTGATGGCTTTACCCAAATCTCCCCACTTCCCTATAAATCCTTATCACTTTGACTTCTGCATTCTGCTACTAAYTTTGCCTAACATGCTGAACATCCAYTATGTTATGAATGCCTTTTAACTATGATTATTTAGCATTTTAAACCACAGTATTCCAATATAAATCTAGTTTATATTAGCATTTTACATTTTCAACAGAAAATGGTTATGCTAYAGAACATTAAGTAGTTTTTCTTTTGTTTCAGATGGGAAGACGACTTACCTTTCGTTCACAACCTCCATCTGGTAGCAAACATGATCTAATTTTCATCAAAGATACAAGAACRAAATCACTGGAGGAAGAATATTTTTTTGGTTGAATAGGAGCAGTAAGACATTTTATTACCAGAATGTTTTACATAAATTTTAGATTTTGGCTTTCATTAATGGCAAATCTTGTCCCACATAATGTCCTAATCAATTCAAGGAAGGTAGGGTCATATTCTGTAGGATATGGTAGTAGGAATGAGAGTTTTTGTAGCTTTTTATTATTCATATTGTTTTATATAGCTAAACATATCTATATTTTTTGAGTTGTCTCAGTTGAAGATACATATCCCAAATTAGTTAGTTGAATTACTTTTAAAGTATAATAATGGCTTGTTTCTGACAAAATGAGAATTTAAATGATGTATTTTCTCAACATACCTATAGGGAAGCACATAGCATACTGTTATTACTACAGAATATACATTTAACAATGTAAAACTAAAACAAATGAGAAGTTTTGAGGGGTTTAAAACTCAAGCGAAATCTACTAGATTATGGTCTCAGAATATAACCATGAGACTGATTTTTGTTTCATATGAATTTCTGTTCAGAAAACTTTATTCTCTTAAATGAACAAAGCATATGCCTCCCACCTAAATGTCAGATCACGATTTCTGTTGTGCCCTATCTCCAGTCATTGTAATTTTCAGATGATGTTTCAAGTTCAGCTGTAATACGTGCATTATTTAGCTTACACTGATACAGAATTAACACTGTTTTATTAAATAATAGTCTATATTAAGAAAATGTTTAACTTTACACATTAAGTGGATCAAAAACTTTGCTTTAAAAGGTCCATTAATATATAACAAGAAAAGGGCTGAAATTCACTTTCATAAAAAATTCTGAAGTATATAAATAATTATCCCTTATAGAAGAAAATAGTATTGGGCTTATAGAAGAAAACCAACTTGGAATATAAAGTTTGGTGGCTTTTTAAAGCATTAGTTCTGTGAATCAACTTTCAACTATTTCAACATTTGAGCTTCGCATGTAAATATCTGCATATAAATAGTTCACAAGTCAAGCTGAAAAACAAAAACAAGTCTTTATTGTCTAGAAATATACATAAAGAAATCCCCATGAAAGTTGCTATTCTCTCATCTCCCCATCTTCTTCCTCTTCTTCAACACCTCTGATATAAAGGACATTATTACACCTGTAAACAGAAACAGTTCATTTAGTCGTTTCAACCAAAAATTGTATGATCTGAAATACTGTTGCTAGATTTTTTCATTATGAAAATACTACATGCTAAATTTACTATGATTCTTGCTCTTTAAAAAAAAAAATTTTACTTAGATTTGTTAAAAAGCCTGCTTAATTATGGTACTTATATTTTTTACCATGTGTTTGTCTTAATGACATTTTCATAAAATAATTACTAGAATTTGGAGGCTTGCTAGTACTAGAAAATGAGTACACCAAAAATCTTTTAGCAACCAGACTTAACTAAAATTCAAAACTAAGTTCCTGCAACTAAAGTCAATGAAAAAGATTACATCTATGAGCCAGTAAATGTAATATTAACACTAGAAAAAACTTAAGGATGAATAGCTCCGAAGTATTTAAATCTTACCTTTGACAAATTTTAACAACATCAAAGTCTAGTTGTAGAATATTATGTTAAATTAAGTGATTAAAACAAAGTAATTCAAATTGAGGTGCTAATTCTAATGCTCACCACTAACTCCTTACATATACTACTGCTGTTTATTACCTTATTAAAACTTCACCAAGATGTCCAGACAATGCTCCATCTATGTACTCTTCTGTRTTTGCAAGCTTAAATAAAAAGAAATATATTAGTTTAGTTGCATAGGAGGAAAACTGTAACACACCTAATACTGGTGAGAGAACTTATTAACCTAGACCTTTCTATGCCAACAACTCAAATTTACCTATAATTAKAAGATGGCCTTTTTATCACTACTGTACTTTTTGGTTTCTCTATAAACAGTCAATAAAATTAACCTTCATGAATGTGGAACTAATATGTAATAAAGCTTGTTTCAACAGAAGTTGTTAAAACTTTCAAGTTATGTAGTATTTCTTTCTATTAAATATCAAGAGTATAATCAAAGAAGGCACTCTCCAATTTATAAGTTGTAATTTAAAAGTTTTCAGAAAATTTAGTTCTAAAGTAGCAGACATTAACTCTTCTCAGAGTAATAACATTATAAATCATACTGAGATGTTCAAATGGGTATACAAATGCTGTGGTTAATACAACCAAAGAATTGAGTAAGAATTTTGAAAATATTTTTATTTACTAGTAAACAGGGAAAAACAAGTTGTTGAGATTAAAGAGTTGAGTTAGGAATATCCTTTGCAGTTATTTCGGGGAACTCTTATTTCTAATTTTAAATCAAAATTCTTAGATTTTTTTTCTACTTATAGGTTATATACTTTACTTGTAATTAAAAAAAAAAAAATCACCACCAGGGCCAACTAAAGCTCACTAAAGGAATAAGAACGGAGAGAAGAAGTTTCCTCTACAAGTGGCCAAGGGAAAGAAAAATGGGGTTTTAAGAGAATGTGTAGCAAGGGATTTAAGACATTTTAATGAATTAATCCTATTGCTAGATATTACTGCCTCTCTTGTAGAAACAAAAAGCAACAAATAACCCCCTATACTCAGAGAATATGGTTTCATTTGAACCATATGGCTGTTGAGACAATTCATTTATACATAACAGTTATCAGAAATAATTAAGAGCTCTGGGTATGGTGGCACCTGCCTATAATCCCAGAGGCTGGGGAAGCAGGAGGATCGTGAGTTCAAAGCCAGCCTCAACAAAAGCACGGTGCTAAGCAACTTAGTGAGATGCTATCTCTAAATAAAATATAAAATAGGGCTGAGGATGTGGTTCAGTGGTCGAGTGCCCCTGAGTTCAACCCCTGGTACCCTCCCCCCAAAATATTGAGAGCAATTTTTTAAAAAGATGATTATTTTTAGCGTATTCTCCAACATTTAGTTTCTATATTACACAACAATGCTCCAAAGGCTTTCCATCATTTAGTAAATTCAAAGCCCTTACAGCTGCTTACAAGGCTATCTATTGCTACTATTCCAACCTAACTTTCTTTCTCTGCTCTGACATTATTACTGTACTTTGAATACAACAAACACACCCTTGCCTACAGGAGATTTGCTCTTGGCTCAAACTGGGATGCTCTTTCCCTAGCTATTTGAGTTGCCAATTCTGATCTTGGCTTCTTTCACTTCCCCAGAGACACTATCCTATCTAACACTGCATGCTCTGTCACCCTTTTTCTGCTTTTTCTTTATAGTGTCTATAATACCTGATATTATATCATATTACATTATCATCTCTCACCACTAAAACAAACTTTTGAGAATAGGGACTTTGTTTTATTTATTGGTACATTTACAATATCAGAAAAATAATGGGTACTCAATAAAATTTTTAGTGAGTGAATAAACTCAAAAGCTGATATCAACATGGTTCAAATTCATGTTTCTAGCAGGCTCACTAGGAAGCTACATTWAGTCCAAGACCAAATATTAAATGATGATATTATTTATTCTTTTCTAATGAGTATAGTTTCTGTAACATAAAACACTCTTTTAAATTGTACAACTCAGTTGTTTTCAGTATATTCACAAAGTTGTGCAACAAACATCACTAATTCCAGAATGTTTCATCATAATGGGTATGCTTTTTGGACTTTTCTATAGCTTTGGTAAATGACTCCCATTTCAAGAGTTTTTCAGACCAAATCATGCTCTATAAGAACTCTGAGGCTCTTACCATCACCTATTCAGATGGTATATGTTTAAGGAAAACCTTAGCTCTGCCTACCTAAGTACTCCTGCTAGGACTATTTACAAGAATAGAATACTTAGGGTTAGGGATATGGCTTAGTACTTAGACTCACCACATCTAAGACACATTCAAAAACCTGGTTGGAAACTACAGCTAAATAACATATGACAAAAAATAAAAAAGACACAATTAGGCATTTCTCCAAAGATAAACAAATGGCCAATAAACACATGAAAAAGTGCCCCAAAAGAAATGCAAATCATAATGGAAATCATTTCATATCCATTAAGATAGCTATAGACGAACATATATATATACATATAAATGTACTTATACAGATATGCATATCAGTGTACACACACACACAAAATAAACCTCATAAAATTAATAGGTGGCAAGGATATGGATAAACTCAAACCCCTATACAGAGTTGATAAGAATGCAAAACCATGCATGCAGCTGCTGTGGCAAACAATATGATAATTCCTCTAGAAATTAAACATAAATTCCACTTCTGGATGTGTACCCAAAAAAACAAGACTTGAATAGATATTTATACATCCAGTTCACAGTTCAAAATAGCCAAAGGTGAAAATATCCGAGGTATCCATCAATAGGTCAGAGAATTAAAATGTGATATATCCATACAGTGGACTATTAGTCACAAAAAATGGATGGACCCTGAATGTATTATGCTAAATGAAACAAGCCAAACAGAAAATGACACATACATTTGTCCCTTGGAATCTACAGAGGTGGTTCCAGAATCCACCTGCCATCCACCTGAGGATGCCTAAGTCCCATACATAAGCTTAGTATTTGCATATAACAGGCATATCCTCCATATATTCTGCATATCTTACCTTAAGTCACCTCTAGATTACTTATAATACCTCACACAATGTAAATGCTATGTAAATAGTTATTATACTCTGTTGTTTGTGGAATAATGACAAGGAAAAATGTCTGTACATAATCAGTACAGAATCAATTTTCCCCCCAAATATTTTCAGTCTGCAGTTGACTGAATCTGCAAACATAGATAATGAAACCCAGAGATACAGAGGGCTGACTAAATTGTATAAAGACAGTGGTTAGCAGGGGCTGGGTAGGGGGACAGAGGAATGAAGGGTTATTTTTTGAYGGGTACAGATGAAAAAGTCCTAGATATAGATGATGGTGATAGCTATATAACAATGAATGTATTTAATGCCACTTGATTATATATTTGAAAATGCTTAAAGTGGCTAATTTTTGAT